CAGACTCATGGAGAGACAGAGTGTAGATGGGCAGTGTCACTGTAGGACTACAGACTCACGGAGAGACAGTGTGTAGATGGGTAGTGTCACTGTGGAACTACAGACTCACAGAGAGGTAGCACCAGTACATAGGTAGAATGTCAAGTAACAAACTGTGTGTTCTGCTTTTTCCTGTAACATTTGTATCTTTCCAGATCATTATTCGGGCCTTGTAAACATCTATTTATATGCCTGCCAGTATTGCGCGGTGTGTATAAAACAGTTTACTTAACTATTCCCTTATTGCAGCGCGTTCAGAGAGCCTACATTTTTAATTTGGGCAAGTTTTTGTGCAGTGAACATTATTGTCCACCCCGGATTTTTGTTTTCCACTTATTTTCAGCAATTTCCTCAGGATAGAGTATCCTAGCTGTGAGCCAGCAGCTGTGAGTTTCGATCCCTCACAGAGTCCAGAGCCTAGCATTTGAAAATCACCACAAATTAGAAGGAAAGCCCAAAGCCTCTAGCGAAGGACTAATCTGTTTATCCTTGCCAGGAGAAGAGAAAACCCCCAATTGACAAGACGGAATGGGACAGCTTCTTCGATGAGAATGGTCACTTGGCCAAGTCTAGGGACTTCATTTGTGTTAACATCCTGGAAAGGGTATGATTCCCAGGCTATCCTCAGCCTTGCCCTGGCACTAGGGGGCGGCACAGATGGCAGGGATCAGGCATGCCATTGGGTATCTTGAGAGTTCATGACCTCCCGTACCCAGGGTCTACACCCCTTCGTGAGGACGGAAGCCTGGAAATTCCTCACAGGCTACTACTCATGGCAGAGTTCCCGGGATGAGCGGCTCATGGTGGACAGCAACAGAAGGTAGAACGTTCCAGAACCTCTCTCTGTGGAGAGTTGTCAGGGATGTGGGGGAGTGGGGGCCGGCGGCACCCTGTCAACCTAGAAATTCGGGTTTCTTCTTCATATGGACTCCTTACTGAGAAGACTCCAATGCTTCCCACACAGGACCCACATGCAGTGGGTCTAGCCAGGTTTAAGTTTAAGCTGGCATCTCCTCTCCAGTTCACTGACCAAGTAAGCAGTTGCAGGCACAGGCTTGTCCCAAAACTCCCTTATCGCCTTGCTCCCAACCTCATCCTTACCTGCCTAGCCTTCCTGTGAAGGGCCCTAGGAATTTTCTTTCCTGGCCTTAATCCCCTTTCCTGCCAACTGTTACCCCAAACCCCATGGCCAAAGTGCCTCCTGAGGCTAGGTTCCACCTCTCTGTCCTGCCCACATCTCCTCCGAGTGCCCACTATGGGCTGCTCGGGTTAAACAGTCCCAGAGGTGTGACATTTCAGGCATCTGCTGACATTTCAAATAGCCTATTTTCTCTTAATCCTAGCTCTCCTATCCCAACACCCTCCATCTGACCGTTCCTGGGGGACAACCTTAGAGTTAGGGTTTCTATTGCTGTGAGGAAACGTCGTGCCC